GTATCTTTTGAACCTTTTTCTGAGTTCTTCATTCCACACATTTCTGCAAACAGCATTTTTTTATCCGCTTATCTGAGTTCTTCCTACCACACTTCCTGCCTATGTTGCCTTGTTTTGCCTGGGAAGATATTCTTCCGAGGTTTTATCTTGTGCTTACAGTTTTCCACCATCACCAGGACACATCTAGGTCAGGGCCATCTGGACCCCATCAGAGCTTCAACTATGGCTCACCAAATGTCCATAGATTAGAGAGAAGTGTAGAGAAATGCCTATAAAGATGCACATAAAATATATTTGCATAAGGATCAGAATGCTATTACTACTAATTTTGTTTTCATATTTCTTTTCTTTTTTTTTCTGAGACGTTTCTCTATGTAGCTGGAACTCACTGTGTAGACCAGGCTTGCCTGGAACTCACAGGGATCTGCCCACATCTGCCTTCCAAGTGCTGGGATTAAAGGCATGAGCCAATATTTCTTCATGTACCTAATTTTGTATTTATCAGATAGGTTTTTAAAGAAAAGAACCAGAATTTACCATCCTTTCAGGTATTTTACATAGGGCACATATTTCTCTGCCTTACTGTTGCTGTTATATATACAGACGTATACATTCAATGTGCATACATGTATATTCCCACATGACAGACCTTGAAGCTCAACATGATAATGTTGTCTGTATAGTTTCAATGTTAAACACTGTGTTTCGAATGAGGCAAACGCTGCCAACAAATGCTTTTTGAATTGTGTTGAATCTAAGTGTTTCCGTCTATAAATCTGGGCTACAAGTGAACTTTATGTTCTCTTTCTCAGTAAATTCTTTTGAGGGACTTCAAATGTTTTATTCTTATGCACAGCAATTTCACAGTTTATTCATAAGATATATCCTCAGTTCAGTCAGTGGGGATGGAGGCAGGTAAGTAGGATACTATAAAATCCCTTTTTAAATCTCCTTCCCCAGCTATTCTGAAAAATAGAAACACTGTAAAATTAATACAGGCAAGGTTGTCATGTATAGGGATCTTGAACAAGTTTTGAATATTTTGTTCATCTGTGTTTTCTTTCTAATCATGCTAGTGACTATCAATACATCTGACTTTTCTACATTAATTTCATGTGCAGCTCCCTGTTGAATTAGCCTATTGTTGCATATAATTCAGATTACTTTGAGTTTTTCTGTATAAGAAATATTGTCTAAAAATGACAGTTTTATTTTTCTCTTTCTAATTTTCACATCTCCAAAGGAAAAGGGATCAGTAGGATCTTACTACTATAATGTTATTTCATCTGTCAAATGTAGATTGTGGTTTTGAAGTAGGAAGTCAAACTAAAAAAAAAAAGTCAGAAAAATGTACCATCCCAGAATCTGTTACTTCTTTTCTTTTAGTTTGCAGATTTAACTAAACTTGAATTGATTTGACTTTTTAGTATATCAAAAATTGTAGATATGGGTAACCTTAAATACAACAGTCCATCCTGCTTCTTACCGATTTCTTGTTTCGTTTTTCCTTTCTATGAACTTTCCATCCCCGTTTCCATCTCTGCTTTCATAGAAATCAAAATCATAAAAAGATTTCAGACAAAATATTCTGTCACTGCTTAATGTCTTCAGCTGAGATCCAAGTTCTCTGCAAACAAAACCCTCCTCAAGAGAAAAGTTTGTCTTTGCTGGGAATGCACTAAAAGGGGTTCATTCATATAGACACAAACATTATTAGTTTAAAGTTGCAAATTTTAATGCGATTTTGTAATTTATTGTAATTTTATGGCATATAAAAATATCTTCCAGGAAGACCTTCACAGGACTTATTGCTAAAAAGGGAAAAATAGTTACTTTGTGTGGGGAGCAGATGAAGTCCTTCGTGAATTTGTGTTGTTGATGTGAGTACAGCCGTGTCAGTAGAAATGGCAAAGTCTTCCCTGGGTCAGGCTCAGAAGAATGGCGAAGCCTTCTCCTGGTCTGGGTACAGAAGCTTGCCAGTAACTAGCCTTAGCGGAAACTAGTGTATTTAGAAACTATTAACTTCCTCTTCAGGGATGAGTACAACCTGAGACTAACCCACCTCCGACTCATTCGTGTTGTACAGAATAAACACTCTGACTTTCCAGGTTGCTATTGGCTCATCTCCACTGGAGTGTATGCTGTACATGTGCGTGCACGTCTGTGGATGAGCGGAACGTCTCAGCCTCATGTTGTTCCTCAAGCGCCTTCCACTTTTTTGTTTTTGTTTTTGTTTTTTGTTTTTTAATCAGGATGTCTTATTGGCCTAGAACAAGTAGGCAAGGCTCTCTAGGGAGCTCAGGGATCTGTTTGTCTTTGCCTCTTTTGGGCTGGAATTACAAGAGTATGCCACTTAACCGAGCCCCCTCCCCCCTTTTTTGTGGGAGGGTTTGAACTCAGGCTTGGGGAATTAAAGTCAGGCTATCATGCTTATAAGACAGACAATTTGCTTGAGGCGGGGTGGTGGGTGGTGGAGAATTAATCAAGGGTTTAAAGTATTGGCAGCCCTGCCAAAGGTTCTGCATTTGATTTTGGGCTCAGTGACCTGTAGATCTGTAACAGCAGCCCCAGGGGATCTGAAACTCTCTGCTGACCTCCAAGGGCACAAACGCACACAGAACACAGATACAGAGGCAGTCAGGACGCTCAGGCACGTATCATAAAATGTAAATTACTGAGCTGCCCGCTCTTCACCATCTTCTTCTACTCTTTATGATCAGCTTAAAACCATTTGAATGACACTGTTTATCGATGATGATTTCTCTCATGAGTTGTGTCTTTGATACTGTACATAGAGAGGCGTTTCCATGCCTAAATTGATAAGTATTTTTCTCTGTGTTTTATAATTTTGTATTTTACTCCTAACAATCTGTAACTTTTTTGTAATATGTAGGGTTATATTGGTTTTGTCAGAGCATTCTTCGACACAGTACACTGTTTAAACCATATAAAATTCCACTAAATTCAAGTGCATGAATGTGTTATAAATGGGAAAAAAACAACTTTGAATAACAAAAATGGGAAAATAACTGGAAAGATTTTATTACATTAAAAACCCTTGTGAAATTCACTATATATACATATGTACACACACACATATATATACAAAATATACATATATATGTATATTTTCTTGAAGCTTGTTAGAAAATGTGTGCTGGTGGAACAGAAGAATGCGAAAATAATAAATTATCTCAAGGTCATTGACAAAGATAGAGCCTATACTACTTTATATACATAGAAAACAATATTAAAATCTCCCAGAAAAGAACCTTGAATATGGATGTTAAGAAGGCACATTTTTTAAATATTTTTGTTGCTTTTTCTCTAAAGTGCTTTATACACTGTGACAATCAACATGTTTATTTTCAAGGTTGTCACAGCTTATTAGACACGTTTGCCCATTACACGCAGATAGTATATTAGTAAAGTGAAGCACTCTACTTGCGCAGAGTGAACAAAGATGAACTCAGCGATGCACCCCCTCCTTTTACAGGGTGGACTGGCTCACGTTAAGATCCCATAGGTGGAAAAGAGTGATGGGTAAGGAGCCATTTTTGGTGACTTACAGTTTCATCTGGTACCACAGTACACAGTCCACATGAGCTGGGCGGTGTTGGCTCGTGCCTTTAATCCCAGCACTGGGGAGGCAGAGGCAAGTGGATCTCTGTGAGTTCGAGGCCAGCCTGGTCTACAGGGCAAGTGCCAGGACAGGCTCCAAAGCTACGTAGAGCAACCCTGCCCTGAAAAACAAAAAACAAACAAAAAACCAAACAAACAAAGTCCACATGAAGTCAATGATCTCAGTAAAATACAGAATATTCTAGAAAGTCTTTGATTTTTTTCCAGGTATCTTTACAAACTTTTGGTGCTATGTAGTCAGAATTTACATATGATTTTGCCTGGTGTCTTTTCCTGCATTCAGTAGATTAAATAAAGACTATAAGAGATATTACTTAGTTATGTAACACTATTAAAAACAGACAAAATATAACTACTTCAAAGAAAACTATGATACATTTATGCACTAGTTTAATTTATGTTGCTGTTGCAGAGATATCTTGACCAAATGCAACATCGGTAAGAATTTATTTGCCTGACAATTCTAGGGTACAGTCCATAATTTCAGGGAAGTCATATCAAGAATTCAACAGCTAGTCACATCATATCCACAGTTAAGAGCATAGAGAAACACATTGGCTTTTTTATGCTCAGCTAGTTTTCTTTACTCATGGATAGGTCAGGGTCCAGCCCATGAAATGGCACAACCCACAATAGTTTGGGTCCTCTTTCTCTCTGTCTCTCTCTTTGTCTCTGTCTCTGTCTCTGTCTCTCTCTCTCTCTCTCTCTCTCTCTCTCTCTATGAAATGGCACAACCCACAATAGTTTGGGTCCTCTTTCTCTCTGTCTCTCTCTTTGTCTCTGTCTCTGTCTCTGTCTCTCTCTCTCTCTCTCTCTCTCTCTATGAAATGGCACAACCCACAATAGTTTGGGTCCTCTTTCTCTCTGTCTCTCTTTGTCTCTGTCTCTGTCTCTGTCTCTCTCTCTCTCTCTCTCTCTCTCTCTCTATGAAATGGCACAACCCACAATAGTTTGGGTCCTCTTTCTCTCTGTCTCTGTCTCTGTCTCTGTCTCTCTCTCTCTTCCTCTCTCTCTCGCTCTCTCTCACTATGAAATGCTGCAGCCCACAATGGTTTGGGTCCCCTTACACACACAGATACACCAAGGAAAAAAACCTCATAGACACATCCACTAGCTGACTTTCATTTACTTAATTTCCCAACAGAGACTTTTACCACGAGATTCTAGATTGTGTCAAGCTGACAGCCCAAACTAACCAACACACCTTATTTTAAAAAATGTACATGACATGACAAACTAACTTTGCTATACAACTTCAGCCATATTGCTTTCAGGATAAGATCTGATTGGTTGGAATGCATGACCTAGTAGTCCTTATGTTCTGGCAAGATTCTTTGGCAGTTTTTGTCTTAACTGACTGTGTGACTAAAAGGCCACGTTTTACCTGAGGTTTAGCTACTGAGAATATGGCCTCATTTTTCATAGGAGAATGATGGTCTTAAGGAAATAATAGTTTTTAAAGGTTTATTTATGTACCTAAGAAATGGTATTGGTCAACTCTACAATTAACAGCAGATAATTGGCACCTAAAGTGTCTGTGCCATATTATTCTATTCTGGTGGAAACGCTTCTGTGATTTGGAAACAAAGAAACTCTTGAGGTCAGTTGCACTTCAAATTCCATATAGGGTACTACAGTTCATTATTTATTTTTTGTCCCACACAATATTTACTGAAGTGCCAATATTTGTTAATATCCAAGTGGACACGTTCTTAGAGTCCCGTTTCTAATAATTAATAGGACAATGTGACAGTTCCTTGAGATGCTCTTTTCTAGTCTACCTCACACAATACGTTTACTGGTGTATGATGGTTTGGGTCATGTTCACAGAATTATAGGAAATTAAATTCAGAACAAATATCAAGCTTACATAGATGAGTACAGAGTTTATGTAGATGAGAATTTGTATGAAATTTCTAGTACTTATTATTAAATTTCTGTCTTTCAATATTTAAAGGAGAGAACAGAAGTCTCGTTTTTCCTTCCTTGTAGATGACACCATGAACATGTGTGTTAGGAAACCTCATAAATCTTTGAAAATAATTAATTTATTTAATATATGCTATAAAACTAGCCAGGCATTTGAATCATTCATGCAAATATTTGTTCTTGCTTTTAGTGCACTTTCATCATGCTGAAGACAACAATCCATGCCTAGTCCGTGGGGGGCACAGCTTGGTGAGCTGATGCTCTTTGTTCTGGTCACCCAGGCAGCAATCAAACCAGCAATGCCTCCCGTGATCAAGGACCAACCTTTCAACATTTTCTGGGCTGCTCCTACCTTCTTCTGTAAGGATCATTTCGATGTAAGTATGAATCTTCAAGCATTTGACATCATTCCAAATCCTTTAGAAACCAAGAGTGGAACCACGATTGCCATATTTTATCCGGATGAACTCGGATATTATCCTTACTTCTCTGAAGATGGAAAATCCTTCTACGGCGGAATACCTCAGAAAGGGAACCTCTCTGAGCACCTGAAGAAAAGCGCCAGTGACATTGCAGATGCTGTCACTTGGTGGAGAGCAGAAGGACTTGCTGTGATTGACTGGGAAGGCTGGAAACCCCAGTGGGACAGGAATTGGGGCAGCAGGGAAATATATAAAAATCAATCGTTAGCTTTCACTCGACACCACCATCCTGAGTGGTCAGAAGCAAAAGTGAGAACAGTTGCGCAACAGGAATTTGAAAATGCTGGAAGGAGTTTTATGAACATTACTCTCACGTTAGCTTTAGAAATGAGACCAAAACGTTTATGGGGCTTTTATCTCTACCCAGACTGCTACAATTATGATTACCGGATAAATCCAGAGTTCTACACAGGTCGTTGCCCAGATGATGAGATTTTCCACAATGATCAACTCTTATGGCTGTGGGAAAAAAGCACAGCACTTTATTCTTCAATATATTTGAGTAAAATATTAAAATCGAACTTAAATGCACTGAAATTTGTTCATTTTCGAGTGAGAGAAGCCCTGAGAGTTGCTGAAATGTCTAGAAAGGACTATGCTTTGCCAGTTTTTGTTTTTTCCAGACCATTTTATTTGCAGAGTACTGAAGCTCTGTCAGAGGTAAGAAAAAATAGTCACATAAAAGCAGGTTAGTAGAATATATGTAAAGTCTAGAAAGAAATCTTTAGGGTGTTATTTATTTCTCATTAAAATGTAATTCTATCGAAAAACCAAAAAAATGTTATTCTAGTATTAAAGGAGACAACCCAACTCTGAAATCCCAAACAACTGGTAGACATGCATCTAGAATTTTAGAAGATAAGAAACTCTGGCCGGGCGGTGGTGGCGCACGCCTTTAATCCCAGCACTCGGGAGGCAGAGGTAGACGGATCTCTGTGAGTTCGAGGCTGGGCTGGACCGATAGCCTCCAAAACAATACAGAGAAACCCTGTCTCGTAAAAACCAAAAAAAAAAAAAAAAAAAAAGAAAAGAAACTCATTCAGAACTCAGAAGAATTTCTGGGTTCTGGGTCATTTTTTTCAGATTGGAAATACATAAAATGGAGACTTGTGATCAAGGTATGAACCAGTTGGACTTTTCATTATGCAATATTTTGCTGTTCAGTGTATTAGGTTTACTGAATAGATGGCATGGGTTCTGTTGAATATTTCATAAGACTCCACAATATGGCCTAGTAGTCAGTGCTGATGGATGGAGTGGTTTATACAAAAGGGGTATTTTAATAATTAGTTGTAATTGTCAACTTGACACAATTTAGAATCAACTGGGAAGAGACTCTTAATGTTGAATTGTTCAGCCTGGGTTGCCCTGTAGGCATGTCTGTGGGGGAAAGGTCTTGAATCTGCTAGTTGAGGTGGGAAGATGAAGACAAAACGTGGGTTGCAGAGCTTTCTGGATTCCACCCCTGGATTGTATAAAAGAGGAGAAAGTGAGCTGAGAAATAGGAAGCATGCAGGCATCCACTCTGTTTCTGACTGGATGCAACTGCTGCTTTGAAGCCCTTGCTGCCTTGACTTCCTGTAAATGATGAACTGTGACCTCAAATCGTGAACTAAAATAAACATTTTCTTTCATGAGCTGTTTTTGTTGGGGTGTTCGATCACAGCCACAGGAAATGAAGGCAGGGCAAGGATATCTTCAGTTCTAACACCAAGTATGAAACATAGAAATATGTGGTAGAATTGTATGGGAAACAATCAGTTTGCAGACTCTGAAAGTGCTCAAACATTAGTTAGATTTTCTCTTAGGACATTACTGTATGGACACAACTATTAAGCAAATGGATGAATGAGAAAATGACTACCCCTATCTGAGTGCCAATGACTCTGTTATTACAGTGACCAATACAGAGGTAAAGACTATCAGAACACACTTCCTTAGACCACTTAGGGGTATTTAAATACATAGACTAAGTATTTCAAAAGCCGATCTGGGCCCATGATGGGAGGTTTAGCAAGAAAAAATTCTTGCCTTGAAGAACTGACAACCTGAGTTTGATCTCTAAAACCCATAATGGAAGGAAAGAACCAGTGCAAATTATCCTTTAGATATCCACACATGCACTGTGGCACATGTGTATCTACACACACACACACACACACACACACACACACACACACAGAATAACGATGAATCCTATTTTAAAAGCTGCTTCTCTGAAAACTTTAAGGCCTTGCCCTTGCAGGTCTTCACCAAACTATTCAACTAGCAGATCTCTTACCTTTTTCATTTTTCAAAATTCTTTTGACAAAAAGACTACTTGAGCTGCAGTAACTACCAGCCTGGCAAACAAGTTCATTTATGTAGTAATAGCACCAAAGTCATAGGTAACCAACTACTTTCTGATTGAATTTAAGGCCTATTTCACAAGATGAAACCTATTCCTGGCACTAATACTGGGCTCAAGAACCTAAGGTAACAGGCCATAGCAAACGACTACCACTATTCTGCTAAATGGACATAGTAATAAAAACTGACTCCTAACAACTGATTAGTGTGTCTCTCAAGTCTTAGCAGGCAAGCTTCTTTTTGCAGGAGATGGTGATCAACACCAAAGTACAGAGAATAATTTTAAAAAACCCTGTAGAATATTCAGGCTATATTATATTCACTTCTCCTAAGGCTGAGGGATCATGACAGAAGAGGTTGCAGGAAGACAGTAAGAGCCAGAGTTGTTGCACTTAATGACCCAGAGTGACTGTGACAACATGTACCAGATCTGCATAATCTTAAGTCAAACAAAATTCCACCTTTGAGAGAGGAGGTGTGCACAAAGTCTCACCATCAGATGAGGAGCTGTTGACAAGTGGTAGCTGCTGGGAGAGGGAAAGTCAATTTTCTTTAGGACTATAACACCTGGGTAGGTTAACCATGACCCAGTCGATGGTCACACATCTAAGAGTATATAGGCAGCACATATTGGACTTTGAGAGTTTAAAACAAAAAGGAGGATGCAAAGTTGAATGGGAAGGGAAGATGGGTGGATCTGGTAGTAGTTGGGAGACCGGAGTGAATTTGATTAAAACACATTGCTCAAAATGGTATGAAAATTTCAAAGAACTAATTAAAAAAAAGACTAGGTTATACTTATTCTAAATTATTTATTCAATGCTTACAAAGGGACAGGAATACTGTCATTAATACTAACAGTAAACTAATAATGCAAGAAACTACTAGTAAATGGTGAATTGAGAACATGTACATCTTTATCAGAGTCCAACTTTTTTCTACCCTTCTGATTTTAAAAACTTGAGGTTTTTTGTATATGTGAGGTATGTGCACATAAGTGAAGGTACTCAAAGGTCTCAGAAGAGAATCTTGGGATGTGTAGAGCTGGGGTTACAGGCAGTTGTGAACTGCCTGACATAAGTGCTGGGAATCAAACTGAGTTCCTCTGCAAGGGCTCTATGTGTTCTAAAGTGCTGAAACATTTCTCCAGCTCTTACTCTTAGTCTTTAAATGCAAACCACAGGCTATCCCCTCTGAATTCTACTTCGTAAACCTATAAACCACACACTCTACTTATACAATGTCCGAAAAACTATTATTAATAAGTTTTCTTTTTTTCTTTTTTCTTTTTTTGGTTTTTCGAGACAGGGTTTCTTTGTATTGTTTTGGAGGTTGTCCTTGAACTCACAGAGATCCATCTGCCTCTGCCTCCCGAGTGCTGGGATTAAAGGCATGCGCCACCAATGCCCGGCATATAAATAAGTTTTTAATGCTTTCCTATTGATGGGTATGAATTGCAAATCAATCAATACTATGGATTATTTTCACCTGTTGTCCAAGAAACGTAACTTTTCAAATCAAGTTTGTTTCTAAGCAACTGGTTTTTGTTTGTTCTTTCAAATGTGTCTCAGCAAAAGACTTGACTTGTGTTTAAGGAATGCGGTACTGTTGGTGCAGTAGAGACTTGACTTGTGTTAAAGGAATGCGGTACTGTTGGTGCACTAGAAGAATGAGTGTCTCGCTTGTATTACTTAGAAAAAGTACAGATCACGAAGACTGGCAGAAACAGACTTATGTGGAAATCCTCAAAATATGAAACTTTTCACACTGACCTGCTGCAACAAGAGGAACATTCTACACCTAACCTCAGGAGGCTGGTCACAATGAAAATGTAGACACATTAAAAACAGTCACTGTATAAGATGATTTTTATGCATTTTGTATGCAACTTGAATTTTGTGTTTAGACTTGGATTTCATAGTGCAAAGTTTTATTCTGTATATTCAGCTAGTCTAAAATCTGAAAAAGTCAGAAATTTGAAATACTACTGGTCCTAAGACTCTCAAATAAGATACTCAATTCATGCGATTGGAACTTGGTTGTGGTGTGGAGATTTGACCATCCCGTCTTTGAGTGCTCCAGTCTTTCAAAGAATCTCAAATATAACCTGGGGGAGGAAAAATGTAGACAATTTCCTTCGTTGTTCATCCTCCCTTACTTCTCATTCTGCTTCTTATTTCTTTGCTTTTGATTCAGAACCCTGAACATAACCTCCTCCTCCTCCTCAATATCTAATCCTCCTAGCCACTCAACTTGAGAGTGACTTGAGCGACTTTCTATTATCCAACAGGTAATTAAGAATTATATATCTGAATCAGAAATGGATATTTAATAGGTTTCCTCTTCTGTTTTGGACTAAAATTGCATTGCATTTGCTGGGCCTTTATAATTTTTCTTAAAACAATTTCCATCTTCTCTTGCTATTATCTTTGATCCCTAATATCTTGACATCCCAATCCTATACTTTCTTTACATGGCTGCAAAAAATTTGTATCTTTTCCAGAAATAAGTACTTGTGTGTAAGACTTTGTTTTATTGATAACATTTATTCTCTGAAACTTTAATAATTACACAATCCATTTTGACTATGCTCATTCCCTACCCTCTGATATTTCCTCCCTCTCAGTGACCTTCCCCTCCTACAACTCTCCCTCATTCATGTCTTGTTATTTTGCTTTGTGGTCTTGATTTTAACAAGAGCTGTCTGTAAAGAGAAGCTTTTCCTTGTGAGAAGTTTTCCCGCCAGCCTGATTCCAGAGCCACATCAGTCCCAAATAAACACACAGGAGGCTATATTAATTATGAAGCTGTTGGCCTTGCTTGTTTCTTCCTGGCTAGCTCTGACTTAAGTAATTACTCCATAATTGTTAATCTAAGTATGTTTCTTACCGGAGAATAGTTCCGGGCTTCCTACCCCATGGCGTTACATGTTGACTCTCTTGTGTTTCTCCTTCCCAGAATCCTCCTGGACTCCTAGTCCCACCTATCTAGATTCCTATTGGCTCAACAGTGCTTTATTGACAAAGGACTTCCCCAACAGCTGTCTATGTGATGGTGTGTTTGGAAGTATCCACTGGCCCCTGGTGGACTCACCACTGGGTATACAACTGAAGACAAGGACAGATTCTCCTAGCATCTTCCAGTAGCCAATAGAATGGCAATGAGGGTAGGAACCCACAAGCTCCTGCAATGCAGGATCCACTGTTGACAGGTCCAGTGAAGACAACTGCAGCTGCTTTGACATCTTGTTTGAAATGGCTGTGTCGTGCTTTGAAGGCAGACTTTTGCAGCCTTCACCCACATTTCCATCCAGAACCATAGAGGGGGGTGGGATAACTGTTACATTGAGGGCTGAGTGCTCAACTGCTACTTCTCAGCACCTTGAATAGCCATGAATCTGCATTCATGAAGCATTTCACTGAAAAGAAAAGCTTCTTTGTGGAGGCTGAGAGAAACATCTGTCTGTAAGCGAACCAATGTAATGTGGAAACAAATATTTTTATTAACAGGAGAAAGAACTTACATACAAGCTGGGAGATCAGAAGCGTGGCAGGCTTCCAAGAGAGAGAGGTTTTCCTTTTACTTTCCTTAAATATCTCACCTGTGCCCATCCCCTGTCCACGCTCCTTTGGGTGTGGACAATATTGTGGGCTCACCCCTACAATTCCCCTTTTAGTCTAAAGAAAAGATTTAAACTTGATACAAAACTCAAACATATACATAGAAGGTGATCAGCAAGTTATAATCTGCTTATATCCTAAACTAAACATATCTATCCCATCTAAATCCTAAACTTATCTGAAAGGGATGCCCAAGTCTGAACACCTCCTTCCAATCCCAACCCTAAAATAATTAACAGGTGTAAACTATCCTGTACTATCAGCAGTAGGGAAAGGGGCATAGTATGACTAGGAATCTAGGAGAATTTTGGGAAATGTAGTGAAGAAGCTGGTCGTCACGTGACTGCCTGGAGGACCGGACATGGCAGGAGTGCATCTTAGCAAGGATAAGTTCTTGTACAATATATATGAGTAATTATGGGTTAATAATCAAGTTAGACCTAGCCGATAAGAAACCAAGCAAACGGCCAACAGCGTCATAATTAACATAGTGTCTTGTGTGTTGTTTGGGACTGACACAGTTCAGGGACCAGGCTGGCGGGAAGACAACACCTTACATTAGTCTATGAGCATAAGCATAAATGATTAGAAGGCAGTTTGGCATAAATGTGGGTAAACAGCAGTATTCAGTTCCATCATACAGCCTGACTTCCCTCATCATAGGTTTTTAAATTTTCAGTTTTGAGATTATAAATTGATTACAACATTTTTCTTTCACTTTTCTCCCTCTAAAAGCTCCTATAGATCTATATATATACCCCTCTCTACTATCCTTCAAATTCACTTCCAATTCCTTTCTTTTGTATGCGCATATATGGTTGGACTCCTAAATATAACCTGTTGAGTTTGCTTAATGCAACATGTATATATGTTTTCAGGGTTGGTGTTTGGCGCTTGACAACCAGTTGGCATGCTCTTCCCTGGAGGAGGTCAGCTCTCCCTTTCCTAGCTTTCCTCGGTTGCCGGTAGTTATTTGTTTAGGGTTGAGGCCTCATTGTCTACCATGTTTATTGATGTCATCCTTGTTCAATCTGCATTCATGCAGTCAGGTTCTTGAGGCTTTATGGGTATAGCTTCTGGTATTGGTAGGAGATGCAGTCTCACAGTAAACTCCTTGATCCTCTGGTTCTTAAAACCTTTCTCCTCTCTCCTCCATTATGTCCCTTGAGCCTTAGGTGCAAGGATGTTCTGCGGATGCATTCGTTAGGACTGGGCTCCATAACTGCATTTTGGTTGGGTGTGGTTGCTGTAAAGGTCTCTGTTGAGAAAAGAGGTTTCCTTGGTGAGGGGCAGAGACAACACTTACATACGAGTACAAAGACAAGTGTTCAGTGACTGCTGCTAGAGATTATGCTGGTTTAGTAAATTAGTAGTTGTAGAATCCTTTCCCACTAACCTTATCTTCACCATCACTGAGAAGTTACCTTTTTTTCTAGTACCAGGCATGGTCTTCCCCCTGTTGAGCAGGTCTTAATTCTAATTAGGGAGATGCTGGCTTTTGACCAGGTTTATGATAACATGCAAGGATTCTCTCCTGTGGAGCAGGCTTCAAATCCAATCAGACAAATCAGTAGGTTTTCCCCATGAAAATAGTGGGCACCTCTTTTCTGGTAGGTTGGTCTTGTAGCACAGCTGGCTGAGACCACTAACACCCTTTCTCTCCTAGCAGCCCACATAGCACCTTCTGGTACTAGAAACTCTACCTAGTTAGGAGGAAACTTCTAATTCCATCTCGGCTTTATTTCTCTGTATCTTACAACCAAGACATGTGGTGTGCTCATCACTAAGGTGCCATCAAGTTGTTGGGCAACTAAGAGGAAAGGGAAGAGCCCATGTTGCAAGGCCTCTGGGGGCTTCCTGACAACACATAATGAAGTGTCCAATACCTGCCACTGAGTTTTTTGTGCAACACACAATGGCTTTTGGGAACAGCAGTATCTTTGCACATGGTTCTGTTTATACACAGGGACTCATCTGCTTTTCCTTTCTTCCAAATCATGTGTGCTTTATCAAAGGAAGCAGCTCTCTAGATTGCTGCATTCTTAATTGAATGAGCCTCTGTCTTTTGTTTTTCCCTTTGAACAGGAAATGGACTCTCCTCTCTCTACTACGTCTGATGAAAACATTCTCATTCTCAGAGACCTATCTAAAATGTTATCTGTTCAAGCAAGCCTTCTCAGACTGTGCCATGGTCCTTTAATCTACAGATACTGTGTGGGAGCTACAAATATGGATATTAGTTCACTGTGTTGTCATTACTTGTGGATGTGTCTACCTGAAACAGCATTTTACAGAACTCTAGACCAGGGCTTTTATAGCTTCATTTTTTAGAGTATTTCCTGGAGCACTGAGCTATTATTAGATAACCTAAAATGCCCAAATTACCCTTTCCAGTTCTTTCATAACTGGTTTCTTTATAAACAAAAATATATCTTAACCAATGGCTAACATGACTTGACAGAAATTTCTCTCGGTCCTTCTCTTTTGTAGGAGGACTTAGTGCATACGATCGGAGAAAGTGCTGCCCTGGGGGCAGCAGGGTTAATATTGTGGGGAGGATACGAGTATACTGATTCAAAGGTCAGTAGTAATTTTCCTGTTAGCATTCATTCTAGGTAGTGATTTATAACAAGAATGCTTTCTCACACCAGTTAACTGCTGATTATTTGCTTCCTCGGCCTTAACAAAGTTCCAAGGCTGTAGGGATCAACTCTGATCACCCAGTTCTATACCCAACTGTGGCTAACAGCAATCTCCAATTGGGCACCCTAAGTAAGAAGCTGATTATTATATTCTAAGGGGATAATTTGTGACATGTTAAGTAACTGCTTTCAGTCTTATCGTCTTCATTCAAAAATTGTACTATAATTAAAGCCACAATGCAGGAACTTTTAGTAAAAAATTGCTATTATATATACCTGACACAAGTTATTAGGAAAATCTGAAAATAATTTTGTTATGAAGAATGGATTCTCTGTACTCATTTTTTATTTGATGGTGGCTTATAATACAAAATACACATAGAAGGCAAATTGTATGTATACAATAGTTGATTGATATTTTAAAAATTTTGTAGTTAGAATATTTAGCATGGAATTTATTTTACAACAAATTTGGAAGTGCATGATGCATAATTGTTAATTAAGGATATGAATTTGTCTAGCATGCATGCACCTTTTAATGTATTGAGTAATTCATGTATTAGGTAATTCATGTATAAATGGACTCACATGGTATTTTTTCCTCTTTCATTTCTTATTTTAATTAGGATAATGTCTTTCAGGATTCACTAGCAGTGTCCTAAATGAGTTTCATTTTACTTTTTAAGATTGAATTATTTTCCATTGTATATATCACATGTTCATTTACCCATTCATTTCTTGATGGACACTGGATTACTTACAGTTCCTGACTACAAAGAACAGCCCTGTATTGAGTACAGAAGTGTGAATTTCACTTCCAGATAGTGTCAAACTCTTTTGTATCTATGTCCATATACTTGTGCATGTGCATGTGCATGTGTGTGTGTGTGTGTGTGTGTGTGTGTGTGTATCATATGATAACTATTTTTAATGTTTGGAAAAACTTCCATACTGGATTCCATAGGTATCTTTTTACATTTTGAACCAATAGGTTGAAAGTGTTCCAGTGTCATCAACACATGTGATCTCTGCATATGTTTCAATATTAGCCAACCTTACAACTATGCATAATGTTTCATTGTAGCTTTGATTTGCACTTTTCTGGGAATGAAAAATGTGTATTCAAGTCCTTTCTATTTTATTTGTACAAATGGCAAGGTGAGTTAGTCAACTGTTCTTTTTTTGAGACAAAAATCTCACAATATAGCTAGCCTAGAACTTTCTATATAAATTAGTCTGGCATTGAACTCACAGAGATCCACCTGCCCTGCCTTCATATTGAGTGTTGGGATTAAAGATGTATGCTACCATGAATGAGTCTTTTTATTTATCCATATTGTCTAGGTTAGGGATTGAACTTATAGCCTCACACAGGAGGCTTGGCAACGGCTGTACCAGTGAGCTGTATTCCTAGCTCTCATTTTATTTTACATTGTTTTACAGGAGCGTATTAAGTTGCCTAGGATGGCCTTGAACTCAACTCTGTAGATCACTCAAGCCACAGATCTGTGATTCTCTTGCTTCAGTCTTCCAAGTAGCTGAGGTTATAGGCCTCTACCACCAAACCTGGTTACTTTGTGTATTTTTTCTTTTTCTTTTTTCCTTCAGTTATTGTATGTACTATTTTGGGTAATTTAGATTTTGGATATGTTGCTAGCTACTGTAGGGAATAGGAGTTTTGCATATATTTTCCACTACTCTGTAGGATGCCTTTCATTCTGTTGACTATTTTTTTCTTTTTTTTCCTATGTGTGCAGAAGTGTTTAGACTGACAGTTTCACTTATTTATCTCTTCTTCTGTCACCCATGCTTTTGGTTTCATGAAAGAGAATTGTCACAATTGACAGGAAGCAGGAGAAAAACCACCAGTTTTCTGCGAAGGTTTTATCAATTACTGGGTTTTTTTTACTTTACTTTTTTTTTAAATTTTATTTTCCAGTTTAAATTTAGATAAGAAACAAGGTTGCTTCACAAGTCAGTTCCAGGTCCCTCTCCCTTTCCCTCCCCTCCTCCCATGCCCTACCCCCAATCCCCCCCTGTTATCCCCTCATTCCCCCAGGGAGGGTGAGGCCCTCCATGGGGGTGTCCATAGTCTGTCATTTCATATAGGGCAGGGCCTAGACCCTTCCCCAAGCAATTACTGGCTTTTTATGTTCAAGTTTAAACCACTTTCTGTGAAGTTTCCTGTGCTGTATAGCTAGTGGTTCAAGTTTGTTTGGACAATTCTTCCCAACACTATTTTTTTAACAAGTTTGTCTTTTCTGTGTTATGTGTTCTTGATATCCTTGTGAAAGATCAGTTGATTGTGTATGTGCTAGTCTATTTCTGGACGCCAATCTTTTAAGCATCTCTTATTTTTTTTCCTACAGGAGACCTGCTTATCTGTGCAAGAAACTATTCAAGGGCTATTGGGCCCCTATGCTTTCAATGTAACATCTGCAGCAAAGCTCTGCAGTCAAAGTCTATGTAACAGTCATGGTCGATGTGTTCGAAAGACAGCTGAATCCTCCTTTTATCTGCATATGCCTGAAGATAGCCACAAGAATTATGTCATAAACAAGGGTTTCAAATTTGTCACTTCTGCAAGCAGTAAGCTGAAGACAATAATGAATATGAAGAATGGATTTGTCTGTCACTGTTACTATGGCTGGTACGGAGAGTCCTGTAGATCTCACTTTCCAAATATCTTGAGTCGGAAGAATAAGGCTCCTGTAACTGCATTTAATTTAGTAGTTTTGCTTGGCATGAATTTATGTGTGATTCTGACGAATTTTTTTCTTATTCCCTATTACAATGTCAATTTTTCTTAAAATACTAAAGAGAAGAAAATGTTATTTTTCTTTTATTTCAACTCTTTTGTAAACAATTTTCAGTTTTAAATTCTATGCAAATTGTTTGTTGGATGTTCATTTTGTGTTGGACAACAGGAATAGACCTGTTCTCATGGAGCTTAGAAATTTAATTAAGGATAAATAAGCAGTAAATAGACACACTTATATGATGGTGGTAGTACTTCATAGAATAAAGAGAAAACAGGTTTAAGGAATTAGGAAGGATTAGAGAGCACTGGGAATTGTATATAAGGTAGTCATGAAGACAAGCCAGCAGAAGAAACAGGTCAACACTATCGGGGATCCAGACATAATGGTTTCCTCCTGTAACCAGAGCACCTGGAAGGCAGAGGTAGAATATAACTTAAAGGCCAGCTTGGCTTGTATAGTGAATTAACAGCCAGTCAAGATATCATAGTGGGGGTTTGTCTCAAAAAAAGGAAAATAAAACTACAAGAGGGAAAATCCAAAAGAATGTGTCTGGGAAGAGTGTTCTTGAAATAAGGAAAAGCAAACCCAGAGGAAACAACTCTTTGTATCCCAGGGATTGTGAACTTTGAAATAATGAGCAATACAAAACAAACAACCACCAGCACCACCAGCCCAGGATACTAACCTATGCAGATGAACAAACTCTTTAAATGTGTGTAATGGGGACTCACTTTACCCACAGTACCATGGGTATTCATTTGCCTCATCAATATCAAAAGATGAACCCTGCTAGCTTCCTTCACAATAAAATGTATATGGGACTTTCCTTCGTTTGCTACTTCTTGGTTTATTGAAATATACTATACTTAAGCAGTTTGTCAATTTTCAGTGAGATTTGAAAATCTCATGCAGGTGACTTGACATAACTAAGTTGTAATACAAATAATTTTATTTCATGAAGACTCAACAGAGAGTGTGGTACCTTAAATATTATTTACTCTCTAAGGCTAGGAGAGGTAGTGCACTATTAGGGAGACTGTATCTTTGCACACAGGTAGAATTTTAAAAAGCTCACATTCAGATTCTCATGTTAATATTAATTGGTTCACTAATTAGTTATTTCATCATGTATGCTGGGAAAAAGTAAAAGGTAAAGAAGCAATGAAATATAGAAAGCAAGATTGAAAGGTATGTATCAGATCTCCTGTCCTGTTGGTTTCTTGCAGCACAAAAATCTATGTTTATAGGAATTAAATCCCTAGGCATTAGCATGCAATGTTTTTCATAAGTATTCAACTGGCCACTATATCACACAGGAAGAAATTATTCTTCCAGTGAAGAAAAGCTTTTTTTTTTATAAATTGGTAGAAAATTATAATTAAGTTTATTTTTTTATTTAAATTAGAAACAATCTTGCTTTACATGTCCATCCCAGCTCCCTTTCTCCCTTCCTTCCCTGCTTCCCCACCAGGCCTCCAACCCCCCACCCAATCCCCACTCTGATCCCCAGGGAGGGTGAGGCTTTCCATGGGGGGATCTCCAGAGTCTGTCATTTCATTCAGGCCAGGGCCTAGGCCCTCCCCCAAGAGTTCAGGCTGAGAGAGCATCCCTCATTGTGGAATGGGCACCTAAAGTCTATTTGTACACCAGGGATAAATATTGATCTACTACCCATGACCCCATAGATTGCACAGGTCTCCCCACATTCAGGGGTCTGGATCAGTCCCAAGCTGGCCTCCCAGCCATCAATCTGGGGTCCAAGAGCTCCCCCTTGCTCAGGTCAACTGTTTCTGTGGGTTAAACCAGCCTAGTCTTGACTCCTTTGCTCATCAGTCCTCCCTCCGTTTCCAGGAGTTTAGTTCAGTGTTTAGCTGTGGGTATCTGCCACCACTTCCATCAGTCACTGGATGAAATTTCTGTTTCTAAATTCCATATATGTGTGAGTACATACCATGTTTGTCTTTTTGTGACTAGGTTACCTCACTCAGGATGGTTTCTTCTAGTGCCATCAATTTGCCTGCAAATTTCAAGATTCCAGTGTTTTTTTTTCCCCCGCTGAGTAGTACTCCATTGTGTAAATGTACCACATTTTCTCTATCCACTCTTCAGTTGAGGGGCATCTAGGTTGCTTCCAGGTTCTGGCTATTACAAATAATACTGCTATGAACATATTGGAGCAGATGTCTTGTTGTGTGAATGTGCATCTTTTGAGTATATGCCGAAGAATGGAATTGCTGGGTCTTGTGGTAGACTGATTCCCATTTTCCTGAGGAATCTTCATACTAAAGTCCAAAGTGGCTGTACGAGTTGGCACTCCCACCAGCAGTGGAGGAGTGTTCGCCTTTCTCCACATCCTTTCCAGCATAAACTGTCATTGATGTTTTTGATTTTAGCCATTCTGACAGGAGTAAGATAGTATCTCAGAGTTGTTTTGATTTTTCAGTTTCCTGATGGCTAGGGATGTTGAACACTGGAGAAAAACTATTTAACAACTATTATATCAAGGTTCAGACACAGAACTCATTCCAATAAAACAGGAAAGACAAATATTAAGTATTGCCACAAGATGAAGGAACTAAAATACATAAAGAATAATAGAGGCTGGGCGATGGTGGCACACAACTTTAATCCTAGCACTTGGGAGGCAGAGGCAGGTGGATCTCTGTGAGTTGGAGACCAGCCTGGCCTACAAGAGTTAGTCCCAGGACAGCTTCCAAAGCCACAGGGAAACCCTATCTCGAAAAAAAAGAAACAACAAACAAACAAACAAACAAAGCAAAACAAAACCCCCCAAGAATAATAGAGACGTGCCAAATTTTGTTCAGTCACCAATGAAAACAGCAGAAGTAGAATCTACTGTTTAAAATGCCTCTGGAATAACTAGGGCATACAAAGGTTTGACATATGTAGAAGAAAAGGGAAAACATGATAAATTGGCAGAAGAAATGCTAGTAATCACAGTCATTTAACATTTTCTAAATAAGAACATTATCAAATTTTATTTTACTAGTATTATAAAATAAAAACAATGCCACATTTTATTTTTTAAAAGATGTTGATTTTATGTGTATGACTTTCTGCTTGCATGTATGTATGTATGTATGTATTTGTATATGTATATGCACCATGTGTATGCATTGCCTGCAGAGGCCAGAGAGGGTTTCAGATTCCTTGGAACTGGAGTTACAGACATTTGTGAGGTGTCATGAGGGTGCTGGCAACTCTACCCAGGCCGTCTTCAAGAGCAGTGAAAGTTCTTCAATGCTGAGCAATCTCACTAACCACAGTGATCGTATTTCTAATGGTAGAGTCTTCAGATGGTAGTTTGTAAATTTGAAGTCAAATGCAGGTTATTTTCAGGCCTTGTTGTCTCTTCCTTTGTTTGCATACATTTGTACTCCCAGACTATGGACTTAATCATCCACCTACTGAAAATGAGAAATTATTGTGTGTTTGACTCAAGACAAATACACCTACATGTTTTTCATATCTATTTAAGACATAATTATATGAGAAATGAAAAAAGGGATCCTCTGTTAGAATGATACTGATGAAGTACCACAAATGACTCCAATAAAGGAAACATCTCATAAGAGGATAACGATTTTGTTAGAAGCCTGCAGGAGGATCATCTTAACCCAAGTCACCTGAATAGTAGCAGTCTATCACTGAGGGTACCATTCTATTTGTTGAAAACAAAAAACAAAAAAACCCACTTTTATTTAGACCTTTACCCTTTTTTTTTCAGTGCACAAACCTTTCAATTAGCCCTTAATTTTCTCCATCACTATTCTTTACCACTCATTCTTTCCAATCAGAAAGAATGTGCATCTTCATCTTACAAACAAATCATTATAATCACACCCTTTGGCTCTTAGCAAATTTGTGGTGTGTTATTTTTATACGAAAGGTGTTCTTTATCATGTCTTTTGAAGTTCTTATCAAATACAGACTCCTGTCTTTGGCCTAGGAGAATTTTATTGTTTTTCAAGTGATTCCTGGTCTCTTATTTTCTCTGCTCACTTATGACATTTCTATTGAATTGAGTCCCAATTCTTCTGTATCTGCCCTGTGTTGCTTTTTTCTCCGGTGTTCTAAGCTTTTATGAAACTTTTGCTTTGTACTATATATATATATATATATTTTTTTTTAGCCTTTTCTCTATAATACCAATTTAGTTACTCGATTATTTCGAAGAACTCTTTGGGAGGATGAATGTCATCCCTTCTTTCTCACAGTAGTTTTGGTACTCGACTTAATGGCACCTTAAATCTCTCTAAAATATAAGATTTTTGTTACTTCTTGACTGCTTTCTGATACAGGGTCTTCTTATGCTGTACAGGCTGGCTTTGAACTCAGGATCCTTCTGCCTCCTGAGTATACACTTGACACTTTATTCTGATTTTTTGAATGTTGCGGCTGTTACATATTTCATCTCTCTGTGCCCATTCTCTAGTACGAGTTGCTCCCTTCCTTAATTTCTTCTTTCACACTGTTGGTCAGTATTGTGTGTCTGTTAGTCCTCGGTCATCAGACCGGTGAAGGACTTGAATGGTTGAAAAATCTATCATAGTAACTTTACTCTTGTGCTTGCGTTATTTACTCAACAGGATTCTTGGATTGCATGGGAGCAGGACTCTGCCATAGGAGCTGGGGCATGCAGACGGGTAGCATTCCTTCTGGTGTGCCTGAGTGGAAAACATGCTGGTTGGTAGGAACTCCCATAATTATCAAAGGAAGGAGGAAATTATCCTGGGAGAAGAGTGTAATTCCCTAAGAGCTGAACAATCTCTCCTACTTTCTGTGTTCATAATGGAGACCACCTTTCTGCACTTAAACTATGCTTTTGTATTTGGGCCAATATACAAGTGCAGTCCTATGTAGGGACAGCTGTTTAAATACTCTGAGGTCAGTTGTCTGGCCTACGAGACTCTACTGCACATCTTTTGGGAATGAGAGTATAGTTTGACTGTTCCTGAGATTAGTAAACAAAGTTCCAACTGATCACTCCAATAACTGCCCTCCATCCACTTCCTTGGTTTTCTGTTTTCAATCATGGAAATCTTTTTTGAGGAAAGAAACAACTGAGGCCTTTATAGTACTGTTTTACCACGGTCTTGTTTGTTGTTTTATTTTTCACATTTCCTTATATGAGTTCATCTGTTTTCAGCGTTATATTTATTTTGTCTAATGACACATGCAGAAAATGACACATTAAATAAAGACATGCTCAACTCACATCGTTATTTGAGTGGCTTACCATCCTGAATCACTAGTTCTAACTAATTCACGACTTTCTCAGGATGATACTTAATGTCCCATTAAGAGCCAATTTATTCTGTTGTTAAGGCCAGCACATTAGGGTCTGTTTGTTAAAATAACACACAGTACACAAAGCCACCAACTCCCTTTTATCCTTCAATCTGGAAATCTAATCTCACCTATCTAGTCTTCTTCACTGTTTCCTGCTGAAATCCCAATCCGTTTTCTTCCCTCCTCCTTAACTCCTTAAGTTAGAGAATCCAAATTGGATATTTTGAGAAAGCAATGGTCATTTATACCGAGATAGTTTTAAGGGAGGCTGGCTTTGATTATAAAGAGATTTAAGGCAAGCCTCCTGTTTAGCTTGGAGGACTGAGTCAGCCCTGTAATGACAGGCTTCCGGGCCAGTGGGACATCCTTGCCACTCAGCCTCTGTTTCGCACCAGGTGAATAAAGGACCAGCAGGCAAACAAAAGCGAAGGTAAACTATACTTTGTGTTCTGTCTGAAAAAATTTCAAGATCGTTCTTTTGAAATGTCTTCTTACAGCAGATAGAAGAATACT